TCATCCTCCCCCCTGCCATATCTTCTGCCCTTTTCAAGGTCCTCCCCTTTGACCTGGAGGATTGATGACAAAACTACATGAGCCCCAGAGCTCCTAACCGCCATTCCCAGGGCTCTGTGGTCCTTAATGATTCCCAGACTACTGCTGTCAGTATCACTGGCACCTACATGGATCACAAGAAGTGGCTAATGGTCAGCAGGACTTGCAAGACGAGGCAGCCTCTCAGCAACATCCCTGATCCGAGCTCCTGGTAGGCAACACTGCCACGCTGTGCCCTCTTTGCCCGTGCTGCTTGCCATGCATCCTGGCATGTGTTTCACCCACACAGGCTGCTCAAGTCAGCAATGCTGCCGGCTGCTGAGCAAGGCCTGTCAAGTACTTGAGGCTCCTTCAGTGGCTCTCGCTGTTCAGAATTGAGGCTCCTGCACATGGTGTTTCCCCTTGCTCCGGTGTTGAAGGCATCCTCTCTGGAGCTTCTCACCTCTTCAAAATAAATAATGTGTATATATAAATATTTAAAATAACTTAAGCAAAATAAAATCTCTTGTGCTGCCTCGTTCTTGCTGTGAAAATCCCTCGCTCTTCATCCCTGGCTCTTCCAGAGCAAATTTGTAAAGCCGGTTTCGAGCAACCAGAGGTGTTTGGGATGCAAGATGGACAATGTCGGATGTGTTCTCGGCAGGGAGGTCTGTGTGCACAGCTGGGGGCTCTGTGACCTACCTTTCCACAGGCGCATCCCACTGTTCCTGAGCCTGCAGGCTGAAGTGTTTGGGATATTTTTATGTGAAGTAGATCAGGTATTCTAAGGGCAGTGTCTTGAACTGCTAATACTACACATGTTAGAAATGCTTTAATAGAAATGTTTGTCCTTTTGCTCATAACAAAAGTAACACGGGGGCTGCACAGCTGTAATGCACAGTGTGATACACAATGACCCTTTCAGGAAACCCTACAGGGACCAATAGTGCCATAATCAAAAGTGAAGTATTGCGCTGGTGGTCAGTGTGCTTTGAAATCTACTGTGAAAATCTTTTCTGGATTCCTCTGAATCTGGTTTAAATAGCTGCTGGCACTAATTCTGAACTGTGTGAGAAGGGAGGGCATGAATGTTCTGCCCTACCTGGCACTGACCTGGTGTGTGGCAGGCACGTTACTGGGTAAGAAAGTGAGGAATCGTGGCTGGAAGCTCTGGAGTTGCCCAGCAGGGGGCTGGCAGCTGAGGCTGCAGTTATTCTAAACATCTTACAGATGTTGGAATAAAACCCCGGAGAAATCATCACTGCTACTTGCATGTGTGGCAGTGTTACCTGGAGCAGGGCACAAGGCATTTACCATCTGACTTATTGCAGTCAGGTTCATCAGCAGAGCACTCTCTTGTGTCCAGACACTGGGATTCTGAGAGAATTTGGGGTCTTTCCTTCCTATCAGCATGACTCAGGCACACCAGAGGGGCCAGCTAGGCTGCAGGAGAGCTTGGATGTTTTATACTTGGCAATCTCAGCTCTTAACTAACCTACCGCTATGAATCTGTAGCCTGCAGTGAATGCTGTTGCACCCTTTTTTCCAGACACCGAGTCTACAGCAGATGATAAGTTTTTATGGATTCCAAACCTCTCCCATGAAACATGGTTTTGACTTTAACACCACACTCAATCCTACATGTGCATTTATCCCTTTTCCTGCATTTGATGGTAGCTGGCTTTTCCTAGCGAGTACTTCTGGAGAGGTAGATCCTGAGAAGTAGCTCTAGTGAATTAGTTCCTGTGGATTTTCACCATTCTTTTGGCTGTTGGCCTGAAGCCCCATCTCAGTGCTGCTTTCGTGCTGTTCTTGTTTCATTTTCCTCTCAGTTTTTTGTCCCCCAGTCCTCTCCACTCTGGCTGGGCTAGCAGGCTGGGCTGGCTGACTCCAGTGCCCCTCTTAGGGGTGGAAGAGGAGGGGACGATGCTGGGGCTGATGGTCAGGGCCTGTCTGGCGGGCTACCTTCCCATACCACGGAGGGGGAGCTTCGGGATGACGTTTAGAGCATAACAGGGTTTGTGAAAAGCCCAACACACGGACGGTACCATTCCCAGGGGAAGGCGGCCCCCACAGAGCCACCGGTGGTGCCAGCGGCAGTGCCTTTCCAAGGAGCAGCGAGTGCCCTTCACCAGAGCAGCTCCTCAGTGCTCAGCGTGACTCCTCATCCTTCTAAGGACCGTCAGCTCTTCTTCTTGCTCTGCAAGCCAGGGCCAGAGCAGGTCTGCTCCCCTCCACAGTGGACGGTTTACCTTGGATCAGCTGGTTAAAGCTGCTGGATACACAGTCACCCTCCGGTATTTCCAAACTCACCTTTTAACCTGCAGAACCAGAGGCTGGGGGCGGACTCCCCGCCCCAC